AAAGACAATACCAATTGACATCCAATGTGGACGAGGGAAGTCTCACAAGGCCCCACACCTAGAGAAGAGCTACAGGTAAATAATGACTGTTTAGAGAAAAGAGATCATTCTTTTCTAGGGGATGAACTAACCCCAAAAGATTATTCAATCCCAAGCTGTCAGCCCTCAAAACATACACATATAGAGGAGGCAACAGTAAATGGACTCAGTAAGTGTATCTATGTACACATGTGTATGTGATACATGTAGTAGTAGTAATAATAATAATAATAATAAAGAAAAAGGGATCATGAGTTTGAAGTGGGATACAGGAGTTGGAGGGGAGAGAGTGGGATAGAAATGGTACATAGTATTCGTGTATGAAATTCTCATACATGAAATTCTATCACCTAAGTACAAAGACATCTATGATCATAGCCACTACATCACAACCACAGGCCTCCAAGCTATTTACCTCCAGTCTGGGCTTGTTCTACCACGGCCTGCCATGACAAAATATACCAAGCTTCCACAAAACTTTCCAAGATAGTTGATAATCAGGCCAGAAACAAGACCATAGATGTCACAGAATAATCACACTTTACAAACCCAGCATCACTCTGCTCTATTGTCTGTGACCCCAAATTATGCTTTTCAGTTACCAATCTGCTTTGCAGGCTGGGGGGGTGGAACCAAAGGTCATGATGTCCTCAGCATACAGAAGCATAAGTGGTGAACAAGTGATAGACTGTACACCAAAGAAGACATATACTTAGTCATGGGCTCTTTACTGGATCCTAAATATTGCCACTGACATTTCAGAATCAAAAACCCACCAAAGGACCAGAGGAGGCAAAAGAACTCTCCAACAGTCAAAGGCTTATCCTACCGGGGGGCGGGGGCGGGGGGGGGCGGGGGGAATCTCCTACTGGGTCACTGTCCCTAGAAGGACCTGCCATCACCACCAAGACGACAGCATGAACAGCTGGATCACCTACGACAGCTAAGAGACTCACATGCAGAGGACCTGCCATCACTGCTAGGACATAACTTGGTATCCAGACCACTTCTCACCACTAAGAGGGAAGTGTCTATGAACTAGGCCAGGGAAGGCAACGGAAAAGGCAAAGTCTATCTTCAACAGTCTTTTGCCTATTCAAAAGCACTGTGATAACAAAGCAGGCATTCACTCACAAGCTGATGCCTACTTTTTTCCACCATGGCTAAGCTTTCAGCACAGGCTTCCTGTACCCTGGAGGCCTATGTACTTACTTGGCACAAAGCAGGTGCTAGTGAGCAAAGCAGGGTTGGGCTAAATGGAAGCCACCTGCTGTTCCCTGAAATGGCCCATATGATGAGAGTAAAGGGCCATGACATATGGATGCAACTTACTTTGAAATGGTTCAGCAGGGAGGTGGGGCACTTACATGTTTCAGTACATGACCATATGACAAAAGGATACACAGGTTGTTTGGCTTTTTCATGACTTTTCCATGATTTTGAAATTATTTTCCCTTTCATTCTTTTTTCAGGCCTAACTCTAATAAAAGTTTTCTTCTTCAATCGGAGGACAGGTCATTAGCTAGTGAAATTAGAAAACATGTTTCATTGTTCTCCAAGAAAGAAACTGTTAACCCAAAAGTCAAATAAATGTTCTACCATAAAATGTCATGGGATGGTAGGTTCTAGAAGAAAACACATGAAACTTGGCAGAGGGGTGAATGGGTGAACATGCGCGCGTGCACACACCACAGAAATTTATTATCAAGGTCAGAATTCCAACTGTCTAGCCATGTCTAAGCTTCTGCTCCTTCCACTTGAAATGAAAATACCACTTATTGGCCAGCCCCTGTGCTACTCCACTTGGAATGCCAGACTCCAGAGGTTAAAGAACCTGGAATTAGGAGCCAGACCACCCAAACTTCCATTCCAGCTGCAAAGCTAGTAGGGAGAGGCAAGTGACTTAAGGTCACTCACAGCTGGGAGTAGCATAGCTAGAATACAAGGAAGACAGCTGCCAATCCTACTATATTCCAAGGTGGCCCAGGCCTCTTATAGGGGCCTGCTACAGGCAGGAAGGGACTAGGATTCCTGAAAGCTATAGCTGAAAGTATGGCATGATTTTGTTTCCCATTGAAAGCTTCAACAGTGTTGGGGTGAGCAATTAATGCTGTACTCCCTACATAGGTGGGGAAAAAGTCAGCAGTGGCTCTCATAACCCTCCTGGCCCCTATACCACCTCAGCTTCTTGTCATAGCTACTTTGACAAGTCTGACAAGTCCAACTCTCTTTCTCCCCAAATCCAGAGGCCTTAATAGATTGGCCGCCAACCACAAAAAAGGGGAGTAATCAGAGCAGATTACTAAGATGGCAAGAAGTTTGGTACCATCACCTTAAGGACTGCTGGGACCCATCAGAAGACAAAGGTAGCCAGAGGTTTCTCACCTGAAGTTAAAAAACAATTTATAAGCCAGCCTTTAATCCCAGCATTCAGGAGGCAGAGGCAGGCAGATCTGAGTCTGAGGCCAGCACGGTTTACAGAGCTTGGTCCGGGACAGCCAGGGCTATACAAAGAAACCCTGTCTCGAAAAATCAACCAACCAACCAACTGACCAACTTTATGTATAACTGGACATAAACGGCCAGGACGAACAAGGATCTAAACAAAGGTATATAATGACCAAAGGGGCCAGGCTCCTAGGATTAAAACCTCACCTGGGTCACTTAGCTTTAGGAGGTTCTCTATTTTAGTTTCTGTCTATAAAATTGGGATAGTAACAGTTCCAGAGACCACAGAAGTTAACACAAACATTAATGTTTAGAACAGTATCTGACATACAACATCTTCAAACAACCAAGACCGTTTTAGAAGAAATATGGGGACTGACTGGAGGAATAGTTCAGTGCAGAGTGCTTGCCTAGCATGCACAAGGCCCTGAATTTCATTACCAACACTATAAAAACAAGGTAGAAAAAGAAGTTTGGACAAGTCAAGTCTTGCACCACACTGCCTCCCCACCTATGTCTGACAGGCCTAGCCTGCACCAAAGAAGAAACCGGTAATGCTCTGGCCCTTCCTCACAAGTAACACTGGGCAGGAACGAGAGGAAACCCTCTGCCACCTTCCTAAGAGAACTACTATTCTCCTCATATACACATATGGTTCAAACCTAGGACCTTGACAGAAAGCAAGGACCTTCCTCTTGCAAAACCAGCTAGAAAGACACTGCCCAGCTCTCCCAGGACAGGCAAGAGGAATTTGTAAAGAGACACAATAGCACACAAGAAAAAAATTTGGCCCAGCAGTCCCTGTCTTTGCTGCCCATGTCAGGGGGTACAGTACCAGTCTTAGAGTTTTACCAGACAACTTAAGACAACACTGGGGGCTGCAGCCAAATTCTAGCCTAGAAAGCCATAGATTCAAGATCACATTACTCCCTCTACTGGAGACTCTACTATTAACATGTCCCATTCAGACTATATGAGACCCTCCCTTGCTTCACACATACAAATGAACGGCCTCTGGCTCCCATGCTCAGGGATACTCAACACACAGGTAAATGCTGAAGAACTTTCACTTGTTCTCTTCTTCAACCTCTATAGGGAGGGCTGTGTTCTCTGAATTTGATTATCTCTAGTGATGGGCAGACAGCAAGAACTCCTATATTCTTTCTGAACTGCACCCAGCTGGCAAGGTATGTGAACAGACCGGCAGGGGAAAAAGGTTAGGCCCTGGAATAGGAGGCAGAAGGCAGGCAGGCAGGCACAGCTCCATTTCCAGACCTAGAGACCTCATCTGCAAAACTGGGACCTAGGAAACAGAATGGGATGGCAATTCACTCTACTCAGATGTATACAAGTTTACCAAGATTTCAATCATAAGAACCACAAATCTACCAGCCAGCCTGGCAAAAGAACCACATCCTGTAGGGTGCTTTGCAGACAGTTCACGCTGCAGAAAATGTTTCTCTCATGGAGCCCAGGAAAGCACTTTCTTCAGCTCAGTGTTGGCCCAGGGTCTTGAACAGCAGGGCTCGGGCAGACATTTCCACATGTGACAAAGGCACAAAGCCAAGCATTTCGACATGTTACAAGATAGGAGTTAGGCTCGGACACTGCTGCAGGAGCACCCATCTGCTGACACCCAGTCACGATGTCAACCACAGAAGACTTGCCTTGGGTGTTCCCTTCATGGGAACCATCCTCCACTAAAAACATTAAGGACTCTACTTGTCTCTGTACTGGTACAGAGATAAGTCTAAAACACAGAATAAATATATTAAAGCATTTCTTTCGCCTAAAAGTTCACAGACACCCCTGCTATTTATAAAAAGCTTCTGGCAGATCCCTAAAGTGACAGTGAGGCTGTATGGGACTCCTGTACCTGATGGATAAATCAATCCTGCTTTAAAGAGCCGAGAGGAGTTAGGTTTTCTTGGCGCAGTTCATGAGTATCTGAAATAGGTAGAAAAAGGGACCTGAGGTTCCCCACTACAAGCAAACTCCAAGGGAGTACTAAAAGTATTTAATCACATCAACACAACAAATCACTAAGTGCAAGGCACCGCTGAGAAGACACTGTCCCCTGCACACGGGGTTTGGAATCCCAGTGCCTCCTTTGAGCCAAGCTAGACTTCTGTGATGCAGCGTTTCTTTACGAGGCAATAAGCCACCAGCTATCGCTGTCCAGAGCTGAAACACTGGCACAAAGCCACAGTTGAGCGGACAGTAGGGACATCAGGTGTCTCCGCAAGCGGCTCTCAGCCCCTTAACTTCCACTCAGCCCAGCAGAAAGTGGCTCCCAGAGCACGCGGCGCTCGACTGACGTGGGTCCAAAGACGACAACCTCGAGGCTCTGAACCCAGGTCACTCCAACTTGTGCTCGAGCAGGGAACGCCAAGAGGCCCGCAGCCAGGCCTCGCTTGTGCCTTGCCCAGGCGCAGTGGCCGCCCAGCTGCCGCGGGTGAAAGGACACCCCCAGCCCCACCCCCGGCCGCGCCCCCACCCCCAGCGCCGCGCACCTGGCCGCAGCGGCTCGGTGACAGTGAGAACCAGCAGGAAGAGCAGCAGGAAGGCACCGCTGTCTGCCTTGGGCACCATTTATCCTCCGTTCATCGTCCCCAGGGCAGCCGCGTGACCCGGCGGGGAGGCCGGACCTAGCCCAGATGAGGGCGTGAGGGCTGGACTCGGGCCGAGCAGAGAGGCGGCGGGCGAGGGATTCAGCTGGGCCGCTGCAAGTGAACACCGCCGACTCGCGCGCACTTTAGGCCGCAGAAGCGGGACAGGACTCCGGCTCGCGCAAGATGGCGGTCGTCCTGCTCGGGCCCGCGCGACCCCGCCTCCAGCCCACACTAACCAATGAACGTCAAACCGGGCGTGAGGGGGCGGAGGGAAGGCAGGACAGGCGCGCTCCAGACGCAGGGCGGGGCGTGAACAGTAGGACCTGAGAGGCCAGAACGAGGGACGGAGCGGCAGTGGGCGGAGTCTGGGGCGGGTTTATAGGAAATGAAGCGGGCCATTGGCTGAGCCGAGAGGCGGGGCTCGGGGACTGAGCCTTGGCGGCGAGTAAACCAAAAGGGTCCTTAGTGCTGATGAGGATCATAAGTACCAACAGAGTACGCCCCGGATCTGGAGAGGGTAGGAGTAGGAACCTGGGATTGGAGAACTGGGGAGGCGCTCGCGGGACTGAATGATCTTTATTCAGGAGGCCCAGGTCTGTCCCAAAGCCCAACACACACCCTAAAGGGATCTTCTAAAGGCCAAACTTCTGAAGAAAGTGAAGAAATCTAGAGGGTTGGCAGGCTCTGAGAATGGGGAAGGAACACAATTTCAACAGAGGAGGAAATGGCCTAAGGGATGTTAGAGAGAAAAACAGAGAAGCCCAGATCCACCCCACCATATCTCTGGAAGGTCCTATCAGTGAAGGAGAAAAAAAAAAAACAGGCATTGATGAGGCTATAGTTTGGAAACAAGGTTCTATGTGCCGATCTCACACCTGTCCTCATGAACAGCATGAATGTGGAAGGAGGGACAGCAGATGGAGAGGCTACGTGTTTGGGGGAAGGACCACCACCTATGTACACGCCCTGCAGTGGACTTCAGGCAAGGAAGTGAAAAGGGGGAGAGCCAGTCACCTCAGGCATGCCTGACTCACTTTAGTGCCTCTCCACCAAGACCCAGGATTTCAGCCTGTGTTACCTGGAGCCATGTAAGTGAGGGATGCTAACTCCTTATAGATGGATAAGGCCAAGTTCAAACAGAATATTAAGTCAAACGATCAGATCTTCTAACTTTCATAGATCTTGGCCCCAGGGCAGATGGTGGACACAGCCCCTTGCTGGCAGAAGCAAAGATACCTATCCAGCACTGCCCTTGGCACTTGTACGGTGGCACATGCCCAGTAAAGATCCAGGTCCAGCCTTCTGCTCCCACACCAACCTCTACTCCAAATCTGCCCTGGAACCTCAGCCAGAGCCATGCGTTGAGCAGGACCTTAGGAGGGAATTCACAGCCCATTGTTCACCTGCAGCACCACTGTTAGGAGACCAGGAAAGGTTTGGGTAAGAAAAGAGCAGTACAAGAAGTGAACAGTTCAACTGAACCCCACAGTGACAGCACAGTGTTAATCCCTAAACGGTAACAAACGCTGAGCCAGAGAAGGTAAAGGACCAGAAGAAAAGTGTTCTTTTAAAAGATGAACCCTTGTCAGGTGGTGGTAGTGCACATCTTTAATCCCAGCATTCGGGAGGCAGAGCAGGCAGGTCTCTGTGAGTTCGAGGCCAGCTTGATCTACTAAGCTACACAGAGAAACAAACAAAAAAGGCCCTGCTCTGTGCCTTTGAGGGTTGCCTATGTAAACAGGGTCAAGAGCTGAAGGGGTGGGGGTGGGGTCACAAATGGCTTCCTTATCACTGGCCTGTGAAGGGGTAGCCCTCTCCATTCCCTTCTCCTACCTTAGGGAACTGCATTACCTACAGGATTCCCTACATTTTGCTTCCACCTTTGAGATGCACCCCTTTATTAAGACTTCTGTTTATCCTTAATTGAATCTATCTTGTTTTCTGCTGGAACCCTTGACTGATAGGCCCAGCCACCCTGGATCCCCTGGATTGACCTGGTTTGCAATAATAAGTCATGTTTCTATATAGCAGTTTAGTTTTTAGGTTTAGAAACATGGGCAGCCCTTTGTGTCTCATAACCCTCTCTTACCTCAGGCTGGAGCCAAGCATGAAGCCATTTTATTCACTTTTAGTTTGCTTCAGTACACTAGCAGACCTTCTAGGCTCCAAGTCCAAGTGGCCTCATTTCCCCCAGAGCACTACTCCTTTGTGACTTCACCCACTGAAGTCACCCCAGAGACAGTGCTGAGTGTTCCATGCTAGAGTCTTGGCCTCTTAGGAGGCAGAGACAACAGGCCTGGCCAGCTCAGAGGACTCTCTGTCCATAGTGTAAATGAGGACGCTGCTGGCCCATGTCTGGCAGGGATGTAGAGGGCAGCCTCAGAGGCACTGGGCACTCCCGGCACCATGGATGACGCTGCCGTCCTCAAGCGACGAGGCTACATCATGGGGATAAACTTGGGAGAGGGCTCATATGCCAAAGTCAAATCCGCTTACTCTGAGCGCCTAAAGTTCAACGTGGCGGTCAAGATCATCGATCGCAAGAAAGCCCCCACGGACTTCCTGGAGAAATTCCTTCCCCGGGAGATTGAGATCCTGGCCATGCTAAACCACCGCTCTATTGTCAAGACCTATGAGATCTTTGAGACATCAGATGGCAAGGTCTACATTGTCATGGAGCTTGGGGTGCAGGGTGACCTCCTTGAATTCATCAAAACCAGAGGAGCCCTGCAAGAGGATGATGCTCGAAAGAAGTTCCACCAGCTCTCCTCCGCCATCAAGTACTGCCATGATCTGGATGTCGTCCACCGAGACCTCAAGTGCGAGAACCTTCTGCTTGACAAGGACTTCAACATCAAGCTGTCTGACTTCGGCTTCTCCAAGCGCTGCCTGCGGGATGATAGTGGTCGACTGACATTAAGCAAGACCTTCTGTGGGTCAGCAGCTTATGCAGCCCCTGAGGTGCTGCAGGGCATCCCCTACCAGCCCAAAGTATATGACATCTGGAGCCTGGGTGTGATCCTCTACATCATGGTCTGTGGCTCCATGCCCTATGACGACTCCAACATCAAAAAGATGCTGCGAATCCAGAAGGAGCACCGTGTCAACTTCCCACGCTCCAAACACCTGACTGGTGAGTGCAAGGACCTCATCTACCGCATGTTACAGCCAGATGTCAACCGGCGGCTACACATTGATGAGATCCTCAGCCACTGCTGGGTGCAGCCCAAGGCACGAGGTCTGTCCTCTGGAGCCATCAACAAAGAGGGGGAAAGCTCCCGGGCCACTGAGCCCTCATGGAACCCTGAACCCACTGGTGCTGATAAGAAGTCTGCCACCAAGTTGGAGCCTAGAGAAGAGGCCCAACCTGAGACAAAACCCCAGGAAGACACTGTGCAAGTGGCCAGGCAGTCAGAGACCCTAGGCCTCAGCAGTGAACTGAACAGGGAGACAGAGGAAGGGTACGCCCAACAGCCTTCTGAGACACATACCTAGTATGCCTCTTGCAGCCCAGGGGGCCAGCAGGGAATGAGGCAGAGCTCATGGCTTGAAGCCTGAGCCTAAAAGTCAAGGGATGAGAGAGAGAAGGAAGACAATCCCGGATGAGCTGCTATTTTCGTCACTTTCTTCTCCCCCCCTTTGAACTTGGTAACTCACATGGCTAAAGAAGCAATAAATCCCTATATTGGTGCAGACCCTAGTCTTGGGCTCCCCTTGGCTTCCTGTTAGAATTGCAAGTCCTCATTCATAAGGAAATCCATTCTCACACCCCCAGCCTGCACTGTATCCTCAGACCATGGTGGAGTTAGCAGTACTAGTCAGAGGCAGGTTGTGGAGATTTGGAGGGGCAGAGGCGAGGGAATATAGCTAAGTGAGGAAGATACAAATTTTAGAGAAAAGCAGAAGGATGGAGAGAAGGCTAGGAGAAGAAGTCCAAGAAGGATGAATACAGCTGCCTGAAAAGGAAGTGCTGGGAGCCAGAGACCTCTCTTGCACTAGAAGGCTTGCACTGTCTGCATCAGGAGCTCAGAGTCTAGGCAGGTGTTTCATCATTACACTGGGGCTTCTAACTGCACAAACCTGCCTGGGAGGGGCCGGGGAAGATAGGTTGATCCCCATAGTACCTTTTGGGCTCCCCAACTTGCTCTGCAGTTTTTCAGCTCTGACCATCATGGGACATGTTCCTCTGTGTCCAGCTGGCACCCAGTTCTCAACTGTGTCCTTAGTTGCTCCACACCATCATTTCTCAGGCCAGAAGTAGGGCGCTCCACTAGTTAACCCAAGCATGTCCCACAGCCTTATAGCTTTGACTGCATCCCATTCCCTTCCAATCTAGTCTGTTCCAGAGGAGATGCCCCCAGCCAGAGGTGCAAACTGACCTGGACAAAGCAAAATGGCAGCATGAACCCTATGGACAAAGAAGGCAGCTACTGGTATTCCTGCATCTGGCTGCCATGTGCTGCCTTCCTTGCTTACACCAAGTCCCAAGGAGTCCTCACCTTGCTGTTGTGGCCCCTTTCTCTTCACCTCACTCTGGGCAACCTCATGGAAGTCTAAGGGTTTAATACACAAAAATAAGTACATTTATACTCATCTCAACTCTGCCCCCACCTATGCCTCTACCTTGGGAAGACACCAACACCAATTTGTCCTGGAGAGTTGGGATCCAGTGAGTTTCTAAATGTTCTTCCTGTGTCCCCATCACATCCAGCCCACCTTCACCTCATTGTCTACTGTTCCCCCACCATCTCAACATTTCTAGGTCACCCATTCACAGCTATACCTAGGCTACCCCCTACCACCCTCAAAAAGGATTTCAGTGCGAACTTCTGATCTGCCCATCAATACCCCCTCATCCCTGCACCCCAACACATATGCCATAAGCATACTTGCCAATTCACCTCTGAAGACTGTGCCCATCTCCCTGGGCTCAGCCAAGGGACTTTGTTCTCCTCAAAGCCTTCTGGGACCAAGCAATGCTCTGTAGCCTACTTCTGTGAATTTTGCCTGTGAGGACCAAGTATCCAGGGTTGAGGCACAATGCTGACCCTGAACAACACTGGAGAGAGTGACATTGAGAAGCCCCATGAAGAAACCTGGATGGGGCAGAAGGCTCTAGGACATAAGGGGCTGGGTGGTAAGGAGTACCCTGAGAGGTATGTAGGCTCCTCCCCTCTCATCTTTGTAGTCTTCCCATAGTTTTGGGACAGGGGACACCAACAGGACCTGAGGCTGCTTGAAATTCAAGTGGGAGACAGTTGGGGTAGGAAGAGATACAAAAGCTCCTGCTAGGTGCATTACAGGTATAGAAATAGCCCAGAGAAGGTGGGTTCCTCCCAAAAAGCACAGCACCCAGAGTAGTTGACTGAGCCCAATCCTCCACAAATGGCCTTATCTAGAAGAACCATTCATGTGAACTGCTGAATCTGACTCAGTCACCTGTAGTGGCACTCAGGGGCTTTAGCACAAGGACTTCAAACTGATGTCTATGGTGTATTATTCCCCTATCATCTTTTCCCTCTTGTCTACCTGGAGGCTCCTCTGTACCTGGGTTATGACACTTCCTCTTTGAAGCCTTCTGTCCTGCCTCCCCCACCAGAAACAGGCCTTCTTGCTTTCCCTCTGAACACAGCATCCTTGGATGGAGTCTTGGCAGCTCACTGTAAGCATAAGACTCCTGTGAGATGTGAAAATGAACACAGGACTTCTAAAATAGCCAAGATCATACAGGATGCCACTTTGCAAAACAAACATTCAAGCACAAAATACAAGGTCGTACAACATGCAAACTGTGAGCAATGCCACAGCACTTCCTGTGATCCTTGCTTGCTGCTTATAAAATCCCAAGATGGTTAGATTATGAGCTCCGCCCCCCCCCCCCCAGAAGCTTGCTCTTTGTGGACAATGCTAAGTACTATCAATCCCTGGGCTATCCAGCACCAAGCCCAACATAGTCCCCTTCTCCTGGCTGGCTCTTCCCAACTCCCTCACTCTTGGCCCTCAGAGGCCTGCTCTGGTCCAAGGCCTTCAGCTTCCACATGCATCCCAAAGCTAATGGGCTTCTCTAACAGCAACCATCTTAAAAGGACTTGGGTTGTGTAAGACCTGCCCATCATTTAGAGAAAAGCTCATGATACTCTCTTCTTTCCTGACTTATACCTTAGCCATTCTCTGCACTTGCTTGATCAGGTATCCACCAACTTTTATATCTGGTTGAAACCTGCCCCATCCTCCACACCTGCCCCACTCCACTGAACATGCACCTGCCTACCCTGGGCCCTTAGTACATCTCCTAGCACTACCTACCCTCCCACCCCCACCTATTCACCAGGACTGTGACTCATCTGCCCACTCTACCCATAGACTCTTGGCAACTCCTGACCCCAAACATGGAAGTGCTTTCATCCAGCAGACTGGGACCACCACGGGACTGACTGGACCTGGGCAGCTTCCATTGATTCCAGGGGCACAAGCTCACAGGTTTTCTTCAAACCCCAAAGAAACGGCAGGGAATTGGCTCTAGTGAAATGAGGACAAACACAGGATCAGTTCCCAAGGCCTGATAAAGAAACAGGCCCGGGGATGGACCTGGATCACCTCCCTTTGCGTCTCACTGGTGACAACGAAGCCACAGTAAGAAAGAGGGCCAGGGAGGGTTACCACAGGCCTGTCAGCTTCATCCCAGTGGGTAGGGAGGGGGCGCTCCTTCTAAGCTTTCCTGGCTTCCAGGGGCCCCATTCCCCACAGCCTAGTCCCCACTCTCAGCAGCCTGGCTTTATGACTTCATTCGCTGGTCACTTGGTGACAATGCTGAGCGTTCCACTCCTCCAAGTCCAGGCCCAGCCCAACCAGACGCCTCCCCACAGTGGGAATGAGGACAATGCCTGCTGGCCCGTGTGGGGAGGGGATGTAGAGGGCGGCGGCACCAGCCGCTCCTGGCACCATGGACGATGCCGCAGTCCTAAGGAAGAAGGGTTACATCGTGGGAATCAATCTGGGCAAGGGCTCCTATGCAAAAGTCAAATCTGCCTACTCTGAACGCCTCAAGTTCAATGTGGCAGTCAAGATCATAGACCGCAAGAAAACACCCACTGACTTTGTGGAGAGATTCCTTCCTAGGGAGATGGACATCCTAGCGACTGTCAACCACCGTTCCATCATTAAGACCTACGAGATCTTTGAGACCTCTGATGGACGCATCTACATCGTCATGGAGCTGGGTGTCCAGGGTGATCTCCTCGAGTTCATCAAGTGCCGAGGAGCCCTGCATGAGGATGTGGCACGCAAGATGTTCCGCCAGCTCTCCTCAGCTGTCAAGTACTGCCACGATCTGGATGTCGTCCACCGAGACCTCAAGTGCGAGAACCTTCTGCTTGACAAGGACTTCAACATCAAGCTGTCTGACTTTGGCTTCTCCAAGCGCTGCCTGCGGGACGGGAGCGGGCGCATTGTCCTCAGCAAGACCTTCTGTGGGTCAGCAGCTTATGCAGCCCCTGAGGTGCTGCAGGGCATCCCCTACCAGCCCAAGGTGTACGACATCTGGAGCCTGGGTGTGATCCTCTACATCATGGTCTGTGGCTCCATGCCCTATGACGACTCTGACATCAAAAAGATGCTGCGCATCCAGAAAGAGCACCGAGTGGACTTCCCACGCTCCAAGAACCTGACTGGTGAGTGCAAGGACCTCATCTACCGCATCCTACAACCAGATGTCAACCGGCGACTACACATTGATGAGATCCTCAGCCACTCATGGCTACAGCCCCCCAAGCCCAAAGCCATGTCTTCTGCCTCCTTCAAGAGGGAGGGAGAGGGCAAGTATAGAGCTGAGTGCAAGTTGGATACTCGACCAGGCTCAAGACCTGAACATCGGCCTGACCACAAACTGGGGGCCAAACCCCAGCACCGAATGCTGGTGGCCCCTGAGAATGAAGACAGGATGGAGGAGAGGCTGGCTGAGACTTCCAGAGCTAAAGACCATCACATCTCTGGATCTGAGGTGGGGAAAGCAAGTACCTAGTGGTGGAATGGGCCCTGGGGGGTCATGGTGTGTAGTTTGCACTCACATAAGCTAATTAGGCAGGTAGGAGCTGAAGAAGGCACAGGCGCAAGGAACAAGTAAAATCCGTCAATTAAACCACTATTTTGATTACGTTCTATTAGCTTTCTTCCACTTAGTAGCAAAGACATTAATTACTGACCACCAAATAAACCACAAAGTGTATACAAGCATTGAGAGTGCCCAGTGGGGAGTCTTTTTCTCTAGGACTCATCCAGCGCGGGGATCTCCAGCATAGGGGTTCAGGGACCTGTATGCAGGCCCAGGCAGACTCAGTGAGGCCTGTAGCAGAGGGGACCTCTATCATAGTTCTCTTGCCAGGCTCACACTTGTCAGTCTCTGGCCTTCTCCTACCCCCAAGGTTTCCAGGCCTGAACAGCCAGATAGCTCCTTTTATCTAATGCAATATAAGCCACCATGACCCTGTCTTGTTCTTACTCAATGGTCAGTATTCACTAACTTCAAAAAGGCAAAGTTAGAGAACTTTACTGCTCAGCCCCCCCCCCCCGCCCTCTCACCATTCCCAGGAATGGGACAGCTCAGCTGACAGCTTGTTGCTATCTTCCCCATCATATAGAGCTGCCCCAGCATCTCTCAATCAAAGTGCCTAGATACCATGTCCAGGTTACCATCCTCCCTAAGGTTCCCTCATGTGGGCCAAATGCTTGAGTGGGCAGCACCTAGGCAGTACCCATCCTCCTCATCTTCCCACTTACTGGGGGAATCCCTTAGATTAAAGTTCAATCCTTCCTGAGACAAGGTACCAAAGCTCTAGCCTGGGATCTCGGCTCCAGCCCTAAGGGTCCCAGGGCAGACACCCTGTGGGGGAACTAATGGTTAGCAGAGGCCTGACCTAGTTTGTATCTGATGCCATGATAAAAGCTTTAAACAAAATAACAGAGGAAATTATTTATTTCAGTGCACTACCAGGTCACAGTTCATCACTGAGGGAAGCTGGAGCAGGAGCTGAAGCAGAGACCATGGAGAATGCTGCTTCCTGGCTTCCTCTCTAGCTCACTACTAGGCTTTCTTAACAACCTAGGACCATGGCTCAGGGATGCTGCTGCTGGGCCCTGCCCTCCTACATCATTAGCAATCAAGAAAATGCCCCACAGACATGCCCTCAGGCCATTCTAATGAGAGGAAATTCTTCAACTGAGCTTCCTTCTTCCCTGGTAACTAGCTGTGTCAAACTGACAAACACTAGCAGTACAAGGCCCAAGGCAGGAGGCACCCAACCCAGGTGGTCTCCAGAGAACACCAGGGCAGAGGCCTGAGAGGAATCAAAACAGGATCTGGGGCAGAGAAGTCAGGTGGGTGTTAGGCCACTTGAATAGCTCAAACCTTGGGCTGCTCAAAGGACAAGTCCTATGAGACCATCAGCGGTCTCAAGACTGCTGGCTAGGGAATTAGATCAGTTTCTGACTCTGCTAGGCTGCAACAGCAGGGACTGTTCACCTCTGAAAGGCATAGGCTCACAGGCCCAGTTGACTACCAGTCACCCAAGGGCTAGCTACCCTTAGTTCACAGGCAAATGGCTGGCTGCTGGTGCACACGGTACCAAACTCTTTTCATAGTATAGCTCAGACTGAGGTAAGGCTGGAGTCTTGGCAGAGCCCAATAGGAAGTGCCAAGAATACTGGAATAAACAGAGATTAGGATGGGGAGGCAGCCTTGCCTTCCCTGAGCTGGGAGCCAGGTGCTGGGAGGTAACAGCTGAAGTCACAGGAAAGTGACTTGTCTTGTTGTGAGCCTGATGAGCAGGACCTACCTGGGCCAGTAACCAATAGTCAGGCCAGGCTGGGAGGCTGTGGAGCTGGACCCAGAACTTCATAAGCTCAAAGGCACAGCTTCTGGAGTCTGTGCTACCCTTCAACAGTGGAAGGCTCAGGGGTGAATTCAGCAAAGAAGGCAGCTCTGTGAGCCAGTTTTCTCCCCAGAGCTCATTGCTTCTAACTCTGAGGTCCTGAGACACCCAGGTGGCCCAGGACATGGATCAACAGCCCAGCCAGAGGGTGGCAGGTGTTCTTTAATGAGGGTTCAGTCAGGTTAACTAGAAAGCAGTTTCAGCAGGGCCTTGATGGACAGCACCAGTGCTATAATCCCAAGGGAGTGGTCAGCCTAACATGCCAACCTGGCCATGGCACAGCACTACACACTTGTGGTTCCTGGGATAACCAACTCCAAGGCCCGGAGTTGTCTGAAGAGTAGACAGCTGCCCTACATGTTCCACAAAGTGTCCCACAAAACACCCACAGGTCCAGCCAGGCCTGGCTCTAAAAGAAGTCTGAAGCTTTGCGCCGGGCAGGGAGCTGCAGCAAATTGTCTGTGATGGAGGCTGGGTCCTGTGTGAGGGGTGTGCGTGTAGCAGACCCAGGGGCTGGTGTGCTTGTGGGTGTCTGTGGCCCACCAGCTGGGGTCTTGAGGTGGGTAGAGCGTGCTGGGGATGGTGTATAGCTGGCCCGCAGAGCTCGATCTGTATACTTGCTGGCTGTCCTGCTTACAAGGCGCTGTAGGGCTGGGGACATGGCTGGGCTCAGGCCTTTGGGAGTTAGACTGTAGAGAACGGATAGAAGAAAGCAACCACGTTAGGGGCCAAGTGCTGCTTAAGGCAAGGCCTCCCTCAGTTCCTCAGGAGGGACCCTATCAAGAGACATGGTCACTCTGCACTGTGGAGGATAACAACGGCCACACTTGAGGGAGGTACTGTGGGACTGCTTTGGCTGTGAGGCTGGACAGACCACAGACTTTTGAGAGCTGGATTTTCCACCTCTCTCCAATGTGAATGACATTGACTCCACAGGACTAACAGGAGCTCACAGTCGGGCAAGGAGCCTAAAGGTACCTCCTGGAGAGGATATTAAAGGGAGATGGAGAATGCCTCACTATCTGCTCCATATACAGCTGCATGCTGGAGCAGAGAAGCAGCCACAGCCCTTACCAAAGAACCATGGGCCTGTCCTGCAAGCCATGTCCCCATGCCTTGAAGGCTTAGAGAGGAGTGAGGCAGGCACAAACTCTATCCCCATCCTACCCATGGGTTCAGTTGCCTCTCACCTAGCCAAGTTCTCCGTGACTCTCCGTAATGCTTCCTGCTTCTTGGCTCGGTTTTTGGCAGCAGCTTCATTGGCCATCTTCAGACCCAGACGTTCCCTGCGTCCTGGCTCCAGGATCTACAAGGTAGCAGGAATATGGGTGACCTATGCCAAGCAGTCCATTATCCAGAAGGGCAGCTGTGTGGGCACCAATCTCTTCTCCATGGCTGCTACAATCTCAGCAACTCATCTTTCACAATAGCCTGTCAAAAGCCCCCACCCAGCTGGATGTAGTGGTGCATTCCTGCAATCCCAGCAACTGGCTCAGTGGGTTAAGGTGTTTGTTAAAAGCCTGATGACCTGGTTTGCATCCCGTTCCGAGACTCCACAGGGTAGAATGAGAGGACCACTCTGGCAGGTTGTCCTCTGACGTCCATACACATGCTGTGTCACATGCCGTGCTCACAAATGCTTATACACACACTCAAATAAATGTAAAATAACACAAAATAAGGGGTCAGGATCTGAGAGTGGTGGTGCATGCCTTCAGTCTCAACACCTGAGGCAGATCGATGTGAGTTCCAGGCAAATCTGAGTGACATAGTGAAACCCTCTCTTAAAAAACAAAAACAAACAAAAAAGCTAGTTCCAGCACTTCAGAAGCTTAAAAAGTGTAGAGGGTATGTACATGAAACAGGTTCCAGGTTAAATCCACAGCACCCCCGCAAAAAAAAAAAAAAAAAAAAAAAAAAATCCAAACAAAAACAAAGAGTTTGAACTATTTGAACCATTACCTTCTAGTTGTTTTTACAATTATTGTTTTATATTTAAGGTTTTCACCTTTCTGGAACTTATTTTGCTGTTACCAGTATTTAGAACTTAGTTTATCTTATCCTCAAAGGCCTTACAATCTTGCACCATCTGAAACACCACCTTTTCCATACCCTCCATTCTTTGTCTGTCCCTAGCTTTCTATCCTGATTGACACATGGGTAACACAAGGCACAGCAGGCTGCATCTGCCCTGTCTCCAGCAGAGCCTGCAGAGTCCATTTTGTTTCAGAACTCTCTCCTGGAAGAGGCCACTTCAGACCAAGTGGCCCTTCCTGTGTGGTCAGAGCCTTGGACCATGCTTTCATGTGCAAAAGCATGTTTATTCCTCTCTCATGTTTGTCTTGGCTATCTCACACCCCAAACACAGTCCACAACCAAGACCTCCAAAGTCTCTATCCATGATTTGTCTAGGTGTTAGTACATAAACTCTACAAACTGCTCTGGGGAAGGACCCACACAGCGCCATGTTGGGGGAAGTCCTCCTGTTTTGGGCCAGGAAAGCAGTCAGGACTGAAGTCCATGTCTGATGTCTGCTTTATGAAAGCTATACTGTTCCTGGTGATTCTGATTCTATTGCTGCACTAACGTGATCTCTTTCTACCACATTCCAAATTGATCACTGCCAGTATTTGGAGGGACTGTCTTGAGGTGCCACCCATCAAAGCATACCTATATATTATTCAACACTACACCTAATCTTGTTGGGTTTCCAAAGAAGATTCATATTCTTGGCCTGCCTACTCAGTATCTTGAGTCAGTGGGCTCAGCACCCTCACAGCGAGCACATACATTCTCAAGTATCAGGGACCATCCCCCCTCATATTCCAACTACAAAGACATTCTGTTTTATCTATAAACCCGAAGCCTAAGATATCTTACATTCGTTCCTCCATAGCTCTCAGGGGGCATATCTGTTCACCCTCCCACCCATCCAATCCATCAGGGGCCATCTGACTTGTATATGCTGTCTGTCCACCTCTAGTTTCCTGTTCGACTAGACAGAAGCCACATGATGTACTCCAGGCCTCATCTGACTCAGCCTTTTTGATCTGCTCTAGGTCCTACAATGCTGGGCTCACACTGTACTATTCTGAGTGTCCTTGATTATAACCAGAGGTCAGCACATAGTCCTCTGGGGACACACACTAAGTCCCATAGTCTTCAGGCCTGCAGGGAAGTTGGAGTTTGTCTGACTATGTGACAGTCTAGTCTCTAGGCCTGCTCTGTTGCCTTGGCAAGGTCTCTACTCTTCCAAATCCCTTTTTGATCATCCTACCATAATCATCTCCTTCCACAGAAGCCCTGTTCCCAGTCTTGAGTAGCAGTACTAAGGCATCCACATGGAGTCCCAGCCTGATCCACTCTCACCAAAACCCACCTTGAAAGTCGGTCCTGGTGTCCTATCCACATAGGGGCTCTCTGACCCTTCGACTCTCAAGGGTGTGTTCTCAACTTCTCCCCACGTCATCAGTGGTGACTCATTCATACCTGCAGATGGAGAGCCCACACCTCAAGTAGAGAAACTAGTGGGGGTGCTGTCTTTCTCCTAATACATGTATCCCAGATGACATTAAGGCCAACAGGCAAACTCTTCCCTGAAAATCCAGAACCTAGCACCCACCATCTGAAGGGAAATTTTAAAGATACCAGAGCCCCAAGGCACGGTAACTGTATTTCGGTTGGGGAAGGTGGGTCTGTTGGAGCCCAACCTAGCATAGGGCTAGGGGTACCAAGGAAAGAAAACATTCTGGCTTCCTAAATCCAAGTGTAAACCTATGGTGTCTTCATATGCCCTTGTCACATTACGGCAACCAGCACTGAGTGTAGAGGCCAGTGTTCAGGGAGGCAGAGGAGCAACTATGCATCAAGGACACACCCATCTCACTTGCCTCCCTGCAGACTGTAAGCCTGGTGTCCAGAACCTTCCCATCTACACAACTCTCCGAATTTAGATCTGTAAGTACCATGTACACATGCAGGTAGGCACGCAGCCATGCCTATTCTCATCACAGGGAAGACCAGAAGACATCATACCCTGGGGCATCTCAAAAGGCACGTTTGCTGAGTCTAGCCTGTGCACTTCCCTGCCCAGTCTGGACTTACTGCCCATTTCTTACCAGGAGCAGGAGAAGGAGTGGCAACAAATCCAAACCCGCCCACTCTGGGGGACTCCTGAGGAATAAGCTCCTTGCCATCAGGGCCAACCTTGCCCTGTTTGTGCTGGAAGAGAAAGAGGGAGAGACCGGTGTTAGGGGGTTCTCCACAGCTGACTGATAGCAGGTGCCCAGGAACATGTAGGAAACATTTCTCCTTGGGATAGAACTTGGGCTCTAGAACTGTCAGATCCCTTTGGGAAAGAGAGGGACCCCATCCTCATCTCGCCCCAAGGACTTTGAGGGACTATAGTGAACATCAACCAAGGAGTGCCCCTTTCCTTCACCCAAGGAGGAACCTCATGTGTTGCAATGATACAAAGAGCCAGTGCTGTCTCTTTCTCTTGAGACATCTGAATCCTCCCATCTCTCTTGCCTCTCTTCCCCCTACCCCATGATGACTAGAGCTAACCTCTGAAGACACTCATCTTAATCCTAGGCTTTGTGACCAGGCTCCCTCTGGCATTTCCCAGTACACACTGCTCTATTCACCTCCCTACCTGGTAGATAGGTATGGGTCTGGTTTGGCTTCCAGAAGTTTCTCTCCTCTCAGACCAACATCATAGTGACTGGTACAGAACTAGACCCATAGGTCATATGTCTGGCCCCATTGGAAGGGACCAAAAAAGAAACACGGGTCCTGCCACACAGGGGCTGTGGTATTTTTGCCACTTAACATCTATCTAGCCTTAGGAAAATCCTAACAAATGGGACAACCAAGATGGGAGAGACCATACCTATCCACACTTAGTCTATCACATTTGTTCAGTTGCCTGGTGGCTCTGCTGACTTACCTGGGCATTCAGGGCAGCTGCCTGCTGAAGCTGGGACCTGCTCAGGGCCTGACTGAAGGGGTCCCGAAGAAAACGTGTGTTCTTATGTACTACCTGCCGTGGCTTCTTGAACAACTGCTCTTCATCGGGGACACCTATCAAAGGAAGAACAAGCTAGCAGGCATCACAGGGTGAGAAGTTCTATGCCTACCTCAATCCTGGAAGTCATGCAGCCTGAGGAGTGAAAGCATCCTCAGCTAAGTCACTTTCAGTCAAAGCCACACCTACAGAACCCAAACACAGCAGTGGGGGAGGTATCAATGCCCCACAAATGTCACATGCTCCCCAACCCCAAGATGGACCAGGACTTCTCTCTGGTCCATGCTGCAAGTAAACACACATATACTGACTTTAAAAGTTGGCTTAAAGGTAACAAGACAGACCACAGTCTTCTTGTCCTGTCACTCAGTTCTACTCACTCACCCTCAGGATAGTACATGAGAGAATTCTTGGCTTTATACTTCCAGGTCTCCACTCCAGCCTGACTGCTCTCAATGGCTTGGTTCTCTGCCGATGGGAGTTCAAGATTATCTTTCTGTCGCTATAGTGAGATGGGAGGAAAGTGGGGTCAGGGAGTCACTCAGACCCTGTACCTGTGGCTCTGGGACTTCAGCCCCCAAAAAGGTACTTTTCAAACTCCAGGGCTACCTTCTCAAATTCCTCCTCAGCTTGGTAGAGCCATGCATGGCGGGCATGGCTTTTTTCCTTGGCCACTTCCATGATCTCCTGGAAGGAGGCATTGTCTTCACTTGTGTAGCGGCTCAAAAAGACATCCAAGCTGGGCAGCGGCTCCTTTTCCTCCTCATCTCCAGCCTCTCCTGCTCAGAGGACACAGGTAGGGAAACACAATACCACATACAGCATGATTACCACTGTACAGCCAATCTTGGGAACCACACCACTCTGTAAGAACTGGAATCCTGGTTCCTGCCAGGTGACACAACAATCCCCAACTGTTCAGGCAGCCCCAGGTAGCATACACAGCTGACTGGCCAGCTCCACTCATCTGCTGGATGCCAAGAGAAGTCTGTGATCTGGCTGACTGGTGAAGGGGCAGGGACAAACACTGAAGGAAGAGCTCATGATAACTGTTTAGTGGGCTCTTCCTTTGCCCAGACTATACTAACCCTGTAGTACTGATCTCCAAAGTCCCAAGGGCTCTTCCTTCCTTCTAGGGATTGCCTTACTCTAACTACCTTTCCCTTCTGACTGGTACTACAGGTAAATGGTGGTCACTAAGCATCAGGGTATGCCAGTTAATTCCTAATGCAGGGGCCCATATGGCCCAATGCTCCAGTGAAGGCCACCATACCACCTTAATCCCTACCACTAAGGCAAGTGATACGGCTGTAGAGGTAGCACTGAAAATCGTGGGGGGGGGGGTCATGTGAAGCTGAGGGTTCTCATCCGTTCTACTGACAGTCTTGACCTGTGTGCAAGCCAGTGCCAACCACAATGGCTACAAGTTCAAGACCTGAGGTTAGAAAGAGGGCAGACTTGGGTCCTGATGGGAGATGTCATTCTGTAAATATGTTTCTCATACTGGTTAATGAATAAAGCACTGTTGGCCAATAGGAAAGCAAGATAGGCGGGACTAGGAGACAAGGAGGATTCAAGGAAGTAGTGAGGAATCAGCATGTAGAGACTGGAGAGAGCAGATGCATGCCCCACTCTCCAGTAAGATGAGACCACATGGAAATACTTAGATTAATAGAAATGGGTTAATAATTAAGACATAGCTAGCTGATAAGAAACAAGTACCTGGCCAACAGCATTATATCAAATACAGAGTCTCGGTGAGTTATTTGGGGCTGGCACCGCGGTGGGTCCAGGCTGGCAGGAAAAACTACTGGTAACAGGGTCCCATCAACTGTTGACTATTCCTAACACCTACAGAAGTTACAGCCTTTTGAACCCTGTTTCCTTATCTGTAATTACAAGGACTCCAATGTTTACTGATAAAATATATGTATAAAAAGAAGAGCATCTTCAAATTGTCCAGTGACTCTACTGTATTTCAATTAAGAGTCAAGATCCAAGAATAACCACTATCATGTTCACAGCAGAAAAAGCTGGGCTGTTGAGAAACTAGGCTTGTGTGAGCATGTTGAACATTTGCCCTAGCACTGTATGCTGTAGACTAGAGCCTGGTAGAGAAACAGCTTGCCCACTTCTAGCAATATATCCTATTACTGAGAAAAAGATAAACTGACCCAGACAAGCCCCTTAAATACAGAGCACACTCACATACTCAACAGATTTATAAAGTGTTCCTCTTAACTTTAAAATATGGCTCACACTTATATCCGATGTTCAAGAAACATTTTGCAGACAACACATTCATCTGTTCTACATGTCTGTTGATGGTACAGCACACCGTGTGCTATTTCAAACGTGGAGCACACAGATGGAAGCAAGACCAAGACCAGGTTCTCTGAGAGGGCATCAGAATTAGTAATTTAGGTGAGAGACAAACAGAAATGTTTCTGAGATGTTGTATTCTGCAGTGAAACACAAAGTGTGGGAAACGGTGAGCCTCTGGTCTCAATAAAACAAATCAGAAAAACAAAGGCACTTAGAGAAGCACAGAGCCCCAGGGCATTCCAAGTTTACATAAAAGGTCAGGAAACCTCAACACCCACCAAGTTTATGCCTCTTAGCCCAAACAGGTAACACCTGAATATGGACCTGAAGGAAGAGATACAACAAGCAGCTACCGCAGAAGAAAGGAAGAGGCCTGAGACATCTTCAGGATTCAGTAATGAAAGAGCCTTCCAGGCAGGGTGTTGGTGATGCATGCCTTTAATCTCAGCAGAGGCAGGTGGATCTCTATGAGTTGGGAGGCCAGCCTGGAGCGAGCTCCAGGAAATCTCTAAAGCTACACAAAGAAACCCTGCCTGGGGGAGGGGGGGGGGAAGAGCCTTCCAGGCCCACAAAGCCTACAAGGCAAAGGCTGGCACACTGAACAGGCTGGTGACAGGAAATGGGCTCTTATTCCAGAGACAGGCCAGAGCACAGAATACTGCTCCTCCACAAGTGGGAACTAGATAGAACTTCTGTTTTCTACACCAGTGTCTTTTTTGATCCCAAAAGTTGATACTTAGGTTGGGAGACCCCACAAGGATGAAATGTGATCCGGAGAAAACTCAATATGACTACTAAGCACTTTTCACCATGACACCAAGAGTGAATTCACTCACCATCATCTAGGTCCCGGCCCTGGGGCTGGAGCTTGCTGCCCACTACACCAGAGCCTGTGTGTACTTCAGGAGTTTCAAAGGTGGCTGGAGTAACATCTGAGGGAAGCAAATTAGAAATTAGAGCGAGTCTAAAGTGACAACAGACTTCCCCTCTCTGCCCCCTAGAGCAGCAACTTCTTTTCTTACAGGGTGGTGGAGGTTCACGAGATATCTTGCCCAGGGCAGAGCCAAACTTGATGGCAATCTGGCGCATACGCTCCAAATCTCCATTTTCTTCAGCCTCCAGGTATTCCTTCTGTGCCTGTAGCTTCTCCACATCAGGGAAGAAATCTCTCTGGATAACTGTTTGGAGTCCCTGTCACAAGCAATCAAAAAAAAAAAAAAAAAAAAAAAAAAAAGGCCAGAGTTGGCAACTGGGAGCCATAACACCGTTATCCACCTTAGGCCCTAAGGTCCTTTTCACTTCTGCCTATCTAGAAGATTGTGGTTTGCAAGATAGCATTTTCTAGTATGGCTGTTCATCCCATATGGCTCTGATGTATTATCTAACATTACTGAACAACTTTTGTTTTGTTTTGTTTTTGAAACAGTTTCTCTATATTGTTTTAGAGCCTGCCCTGGAACTCGGCTCTGTAAACCAGACTGGCCTCCTGAGTGCCGGGATTAAAGATGTGTGCCACCAACGCCTGGCACAGGACAACCTCTTGATGCCCATAAAATCCTTCAATAACTAGTTTTTCTTGTTCTCCTTTGCTGGCTCCATCTACAACACCAGCCAGACTAATGTGGTTGATGCCTTCCTCATTCCATCCATGGATTTTTATTTCAATCTAAACCTTTCTCTTGAAAGCCAGTCACCACTACTGCCACCACCGGATAGAATTCTCAAGATTTCATCGCCAGCCAGACCTTGCTGTGGAGCTACAAATCTGTATACCCTACTACGTGGTGATGACACATGACAGCCTATCCCAGAAGCGTCCTAAATTTAACCGGTCTAAAGCCAGATTTATGTCAGTTTACCCTCCAGCATATTTACAGTGGGACCCCTAACTCCAGGAGCAACCGAGACCCTCACTCTATTTCCAGGACCTCCCAACCTTTACACTTAATACTGCTACCTTCCACAAAGTCCCTTTTGCCACCACCCTAAAAAGTGTCAAAATTCTGCCCAAACTTTAATAGGAAACTTAACCCTCAACAGAAAACGGGACCGCCCCTTCTTTTCACTGAAAACTGGACACCCTCTTCTGTACTGTCTCTCAAGACGTTCCAAACCCACAGGCGGCTCAGAGTTCCAGGACCAGAAAACATTTCAAAGACTGGAGAGGAACGCAAATCGGGGAAGGGGCCCAGAAGTCGCCAGCGCTCGCACTGAGCTGGTACCTCGATGTACTCTTCTTCATCCAGAACCCGCTGCCTGCTTCTCGCAACCCCGGCCTCCCCGGCCGCGCGCTTCCTTGGGGGTGTAGACGCGGTAGACAGATACAGAGGGCCCGCCGAGGCTCCGGGAGTCCCCATCGCTATCCCAGAACCGCTCGGGCGTAGGCGTCACACCAACAGCCAGCCAATGGGGAAGCAGTAATTTTTTTTGTAACAAAGCTGGCGCTCCAAATGACGTCACTGGGAGCGCCGGATCTAAAGGGAGTTGTAGTCTTTGATCCCCATCCACGTTGCTCGTGCCTGTTTAGACTATGGTCACTAGGGGGAGCGGTGAGGTGACTGTTTGAAGACACATTCCCTCTATTACAATTTTTCCTCAAAAAACAAAAGCCAAAGTCATTTTTAAATACTTCAAAAAACTTGGCTATATATAATGTCAAAACCCAGTAAAAGAACACTAAGACAAGTCTTCCCAGATAGTTATTTAACAAAAGGTAAATGAAAATAAAGAACAAGAGGGCGCTTAAAGCTCTGATTAGATTTATTAGTTCCCTTCCTGCCAAGGTGGGCTTCCCAAAAGAGGCCTGTACTCACTGAAAGCATTTATGGTACTTCCATTCTAAAGCAGATCGTGAATTATGCCAAACCCGTTCTAGCCCAGAATGATTTGCCACAATTTTGCTTTTCCAACAATCTCTTCCTTCATTGGGAGTCAACTGATTACTTTATGGCTATGTCCCTGCCCCGATAGAGTTGACCATAATAAACACACACACATTAAGTCATGCTGTATATGTGACTTGCAAGAACTCTGTACTCAAGAGAATCTTGATTTCTACATAGCACATATCAAGTAGCATTTTCCCAGGCAGAAGGTGGCTGTAGATCCAAAAGATGAATGGATAGGCATCAACCAAGTGGAACTGGAGAGGGGCATGCAGAGGTCCAAGAGTGGCATGGAGCAAGGCAAATTCTCAAGGACACCTTTTGTTACACCATTCAGTGAATAAGGGCATGATGGCAGAGGGGTAAAGCCAGTCTGCACAGTATCTTTGGGGTCCTGGCAAGAAATATCATTTTTATCTTGAATTAAAGGGAAGCCAGAGTGGGTTCAGGTGAAGATAACTAGAGAAAGCTGCAGTGGTCTTGGTGCAAGGTGATGGCAGTTTTCATCAGGTTAGTGTGGCTGAAGCTGCAGAGAAGCTGGTTCCTGGGGTTTACTGATATATTTAGAGGTGAAATTGGATGGACTTGGTATGATTGGGTGAGGGACAGAGGGCGGTTGGTGATCAAGAACTGTGATTCATGTCCTTAAACAAGGCCAATGAACGGAGGAATAGCTCAGTGTATACAAAACGAATGTGAGGAGCCTGTGACTTCCCGAGTGTTGTCAGGGGGACAGACTGACAGGGGAACATACCTAGCTCTGGGGAGAGGCCTGGACTGAAGATGGAAGTATGTATGACAAAGAGGTGGGAACTGGAACCTAAGGATGGAAAAGATACATCAAGAAGAAAATGGAGGGATGGAGAGAGAGCTCATTCTTTAAAAGCACTCCTTACTCTACCACAGGATCTGGGTTCAGTTCACAGTACCTACATGATGCTGCACAGCTCTAGTTCCAGGGTTCCAACCATACCTTCTTCTGATCTCCACTAGCACCAGGTAAATATGTGGTGCACATGTATGCATGCAGACAACACACACACACACACACACACACACACACACACACCTATATAAAACACAATGTTTTTACAGAAGAGAATGGAGATGGGAGAGGCCTTGAGATGGAGCTTCTGGACACTTGTCAATCAATGCCAGGTGTCAGGTGAGGGGTGTGAGGAGCCTCTGCGGGGAGTGGTGACAATGAGAGGAGGGCAGAAGTTCAGCCAAGCTCAGATTCTGGAGAACCACGGAAGACAGGAGCCCAAGCCTGCAGGTGAGCTGGCTGCTAGACAGCTGTGTCTGAAGCTAGACAGTGCAGTCTTCTAAGGCAAGGCCACAATTCAGGAAGAATAGTCTGGTGGCAGCCCTAAGTGTGCATCCAAGGGACTGGGGAGGAGAGTCCCCATCCTGGAGGTCTCCAGCAGTGTTAGAATGGCTCTGGCTGGAGATATATGCCTGCTTGGTGTTTTCCAAATCAGCCATCTTTACACAGTGCCAAGACCTCCTGCCACTGGCTCTACAGTTTAGTTTTTGTGAATGGACCGAGTCTCTCGAAGACACCACTGCATGTTTCAAGACCTGTGAGGTGACAGAGCAAGAAGATCAGGCAGGTGTTAGCTGCCTCCAACCCACTGCACAAGTCAGCAGGGAATGGAAGCCATCTTTCATTCTGTAGAGTACCCTACACACTTCTATGGGACCTGGATTACAGAGGGGAAGATAGACATTTCCCAAGGTAGTGGGGATGGATGTTCCCTGAATTCAATCTCTGCTTGCCCACCCTATTGTCAGATGCCACTGTATGGAAACCTCCAGGTTCAAGAAGCCAAACATCCCCCATCTGTGAAGCAGGTCGGTAGTACCTAGAGGTTATAGCAAATCCCAGAAGGCTTTCTTGCCACCATCCCCTGGCTTGTTACAGGAACTGAGGACTCGTTGAGCTGTGTTCTCCAAGACATGTTGATCTCCCAATTTCCTGGGAAGGGGGAAGGGTGACAGCTCCTCAATAGGTATAGAAATGAAGCCTGAGGCATGGGCACTTGTGATTCTGGACTGTTTGTGGTATTTGTAAATCTTGTTTATGTTTTATGTCTTGGTACCAGCACAAGACTGATATGAAGAAGCAGGAGCAGGGACCTGGAAAATACCAACTATAGCCTTCTTATCCCACTGGTCCTGACACCATGGTTCAGTATAGGACCTCTGAGGGCAGAGTAAGCCTGGGACTGTGCAGGTACCACTGCCCTGTTTAGAAGGCGAAAGAATACATAGGGGGCCAGTTCTGGAGGTAGGCATGAGGTGGCAAGAGAGCTTCCACTGGAGAGGATTTGGGGTCCTGAGTGGAGTTAGGGCCTCTCTAGGAGGTAACGGTGCATGAGGAAGTTGACCTGCTGTGCCTGCCCTTTACCTGTAAAAGACCCCTGGGTCCTGCCCCACATGTCCTCCCTATAAAGGGGAGGAGGTCTTGGATCCCCTTTCTCCCAACACTGGGCAGCTGGACACTGCAAGAGTGTGATGGGAGGGGCTGCTGTCCTCTTAGTTTCTGTTCAAGTAGGTCTGGCCCCTCCTACTTTGCTGTGCTCCACTGCCAAAGCCAGGAGAAACTCCAGACACCATCAATAGCTCTCCTTGGGAGGTTTCTTGGTTCCAGGCAGGAGCCTCGATGATGAAGCACGTTTTTGGTGTCGCCACTTGGCCCGGCGATTCTTGAACCAGACCTAAGGAGGAGGGGGACCAGGACAGGCTCTGGTTGCACGGACCCATACCCAAAGAACTCCAGCAAGGCTGATTGGCAGGCGGGGTGATAGACTTCACTACAGAAGTGTAGATGAATGGACCTGCATCACCTTCCCTTAACCACACAAAGAAAAGGACTGAGAGTCCCCACATGGAGATTTCCTAGTCTCCCCAGCCTTGGCCCAGTAGCAACCAGGGTATCTCTCTCTGTCTCCAGTCTCTCTTAAAGTCTAATTCACTGTGTGTCAAGGATGACTTTGATGAACTCATGGTTCTGTCTCCACCTCCCTGAGTGTTAGGATTACAGACATATACCACCACATCTGGCTGGTTTTGCAAATTTTCTTAACTTTCCCACATCTGGGGCATGAACGAATGTATCTTTCATCATCAGGGGAAATGGGGAAGACAGACCAAGTCGGAGAAAACTACTCTCAGCCCCTCCCAGTTCTGGCGACATCCAAAGAACCTACTGGGAGAACGGGTCTTGTGCCCCATCCACTGATCTGGGATTTTCCCTCCAGCGAGAAGGGCTATGAGGAGAGGCACCGCCTGGAAGGTTGGTCTATGAAAGAGAAGAGTGGGCTCCAGAGTTGGCCTCCAGGCTGCGGGGCTGACACCCACCTCCACGCGCTCCTCCCGAAGGCGGATGCGGACAGCCAAGCGCTCGCGCGTGCCCACGTCGGGATACTGGTTCTGTACGAAGAGCTCCTCGAGCGCCTGCAGCTGCTCCTCGCTGAAGATGGTGCGGTGGCGCCGCGTGCGCCGCTGAGGACCCGGGCCGCTCGTGCCGTTCAGCGCCGGCGAGCCTGCGCTCGGTGCGGCCAGGGGCAAAGGGGCCGCCGGTGCCAGCCTCAGTGGCCACGCTAGCCGCACTCCTGCGGGGAGGTACGAGGTCGCTGTCAGGCATAGGGTTAGGGTTACCGTGGGAGGAGAGCTCGCCACACCCGCCGCCCTGCAAATCCCAGGACCCGCCTCGCCCCACCGCTCGCACTCACCTGGTCCGGACGCTGCCTCCGGGGCTCCTCCGGGTGCTGCTCGCGGGCTGCAGCAGCAGCAGTAGGTGCAGGGCGGGGAGGCCGCAGGCGCCTCGGGCTCGTCGGGCTCAGCGGGGTTCCGGCCACCGACGGGCTGCGGTGGCCGTGCTGCGGGCCTGCGTTCAGGCAGGTTGGAGAGGATGTGCTCAATGGAAAAAGGGCAGGGTCGTCCAGGGTCCCTGCGGTTCGCCGCGCTGCCTGCAGTCGCCATGCCCGCGGGCCGCCGGCGGGAGCAGCCGAATATATACGTCGGGGGTGGGAGGTGCGGTAATCCCTGGGCCGGGCGCCGCTTTCGCGCGTGCTAATCCCGTCGCCAGTCCTCAGAGAGCTAATCCCTGGCCACGGAGGAGGGAGTGCCACTCCGTCTGGGTGCAGGGAGCCACGTTCCTAGTAGGAAGCCCTGTGCTCTGCTATGTCAGAAGCCCGCACTATTATGGCAGTCGCCTGCTGGGAGGATGTCAAGACCCTGGGGACTTCTGAACGCACTGGGACCCCGCCACCCCTCTGCTCCTGGCTTTCTTCATTCTGTAGCCAGCCATGAGAGTGGAGACGATTTCTGGAATCCACATTTCTTCCTTCCCTACTTTGGAGTGGGCTCAGCACCCTTGGCTGTCAGGCGGTCTCACTTCACAGAGTTTGTTCACTTTCGAGCCTAATCCTGAATCTCCAGTAGACAAAATATCATCTCCAGGGTGGGAGGTTGAGGCTGGC